ACTCAAAACGCCGGGTTTTGCTACACGCTGCCGAACCACAATGCCGATCAGTTTGCCCCATATGTCAAGGTCAACACAAGCCAGCCGATTGTGAGCAGTTCAGCCAGTTAACTGTTTCAAAAAGATGGGAGGAAACAAAGCGATGTCACCTCTGTTTTGCTTGCCTTAATATCGGACATGGTTCGCGCAATTGCCGATATCGAAAGGTGTGTGGTATCAATGGATGTAAAAGGTCGCACCACAAATTGTTACACGAAGTTGACAGTACTGCCGACGAATCACCGAACCAGCCACTACCTCACCCAGATCGTTCCAGACGTGTCTCCAAAATTGATCCAAGTAAAGTTTTTAAGACACAGACGCAGCCAGCGTCGCATAGTCAACAGAAAGGCGATATAGACGCAGCGGTCCTTAGTTGTAGCAATGATGTCGCCACAAACAAACTGCTATTTGGAATTCTGCCGGTCGTTCTCTATGGGAATAAGAAGTCAGTTGAAACGTATGCCCTCTTGGACGAAGGTTCGCAAATAACAATGATTGACAATACTCTCGTTAAAGAACTGGGATTACATGGCCGTAGCGAGCATTTGAACTTACAATGGTTCGGAGGGCGTGCCACTCAAGAGCCAGCCGTCGTAGTCGATGTTTTCGTAAGTGGATCCGATGCTCAAAGAAGGCATAAGCTGCGGAATGTGTATGGTGTGACAAACTTACAGCTGCCTTCTCAGAGTTTGAGCAAAAATGATTTAAGCCATCTCAATAAGTACATAGACAAGCTTCCGATCCAGCCGTATACGCATATCAGGCCAAAACTCTTAATTGGACTTGACCATTGTCACCTTGGTTTGCCATCAGCTACAATGAAGCTGAACAAGTGTGGCCCCTTCGTCGCGAACACCGAGCTAGGATGGGTGGTATTTGGCCCATCAGCCAACATGTGCTCGGCAGTGCCATCATGTCTCTTCATTAACAGCTACACTGACCAGTCGCTACATAACGCGGTGGCCGATTACTTTAGTACAGAGAGCTTTGGTATTAGGGCTGCTCCCCCCATCGAGAGCAAAGCTGATGTTCGTGCGCGCGAAATTCTGAAGTCTACCACGAGCCAAGTGGGCGGAAGATACCAGACAGGCCTGCTTTGGAAACACGCAGATGTAGAACTACCCGCCAGTTATTCCATGGCGCTGAAAAGACTAACGAGTATTGAGGCGAAAATGAGACGCGACGAAAACTTCGCTGCAAAGTATAGGTGCATCATAAACTCGTATGTGGAGAAAAACTATGCACAAAGGTTATCCACCGAAGAAGCCGAAGTAACCAGCACGAGGACATGGTATCTACCACATTTCGCCGTGAGTAATCCCAATAAGCCGGGCAAGTTACGGATGGTATTTGATGCAGCTGCCGAAGTTAATGGTGTGTCCCTTAATTCGCAGCTTCTAAAGGGTCCGCAGCAATATAGGCCTTTACCTGCTATATTGTTCAACTTTCGTGAGAGAGCCATTGCCGTTTGCGGTGACATCAAAGAGATGTTCCACCAGGAGTTAATTCAACGTGAAGACCGATGTGCGCAACGCTTTCTCTGGCGCGATGGTAACACTGCCAAAGAACCCGATGTTTTTGAAATGCGAGTTATGACCTTCGGAGCAGCATGCTCGCCTTGTGCTGCCAACTACGTCAAAACATTAAACGATATGGAGTATCTAAAAGAGGACAGTGGTGCCGCTAGAGCAGTAAAATCCATATTAGACTACCACTACGTGGATGACTATGTCGACAGTTTTGACACGGAAAAGGAAGCAGTAGATGTGTCACAAAAGGTACGTGCAATTCACGCGAGAGCAGGTTTCGAGCTTCGCAGCTTCACGTCAAATTCATCCGTAGTTACTTGTAGACTCGGTAGTGACGAGGAGGTTCGTCAGATAGCGAAGAAGGATGGGGGACAGATGGAGAAGATTCTCGGCTTATTCTGGAAGGCATCAACTGACACATTTGGGTTTGATCTGAGATTCCACAATGTAGAACCCAGTGTGATGAACGGAGAACGACGTCCGACAAAGCGAGAACTCCTAAGCGTGGTCATGTCAATCTTTGATCCGTTGGGATTTCTAAGTAATTTCGTGGTCAGCGCTAAACTCCTCATGCGGGAAGTGTGGAAGTACGACATCCGATGGGATGAGCCATTGCCGAACATAGTAAACGCTGCATGGGAGAAGTGGCGTGAACAGTTTCCGGCTGTTGCCGGCTATGTCATTCCTCGATTCTACTTCCGCAACGGTCTACCCAAAATCCTGCAACTCCATATTTTCGTAGATGCCAGTGAAGATGCGTTTGCCGCGGTTGCATATTGGAGGTCATCTAACGCTATTGGCAAGGTGGAAGTCGTATTTATCTGTGCGAAGACCAAATGTGCACCAATGAAAACCGTTACCATACCGAGACTGGAGCTACAAGCGGCAGTTCTGGGCACACGACTGATGAACTGCGTACATGAGGAGCACTCGTTGCCTATCGAAGATTGTATCCTCTGGAGCGATTCCCAAACAGTAATCCAATGGATCCGGAGTGAACACCGGCGCTATAAGCCTTTCGTGCAGCACAGAATCGCCGAAATACTAGCTGTCACAACCGTTAAAAATTGGCGATGGTTGCCCACTACGGAGAACGTCGCGGATGAAGCCACTAGAGCGAATAATCGTATCGATTTTAGTTCATCTGCACGTTGGTCCAGCGGTCCGCCATTTTTACATCAAGACGAGAACCTTTGGCCATTAGAAACCTCGTCGTGCAATCCTCAGAAGGAAGCGGATAAAGAACTAAGCCATAAATACGCTCTTACTATCCTAACTTGTAAGTTTTTAGACTTTAATCGATTCTCTTCCTTCAACAAATTAGTGAGAACCGTAGCATGGGTACAGAGGTTCATCAATGTTTGCCGCCGCCGTAATCAATCAGACCTGTGCTATGGCTTGACAGCAAAGGAAATCGAGATGGCAAAGCTTCGATTGTGCCGCTTGGTTCAACGTGATGAATTCTTTGCAGAGCTTCAGCAGATCGAAGACGGTAAAGTCTTAGCACGTTCCAAGCTCTCGCCATATAAGGACGAAGATGGAGTACTTCGCATACAAGGACGCATAGATGCCGCCACGTGGCTTCCAATGAGTGTGAGGCGTCCAATAATATTGCCACCATGTCATGCCTTCACAAAACTTGTCGTGGCACACTACCACGACAACATGCATCATCAAAATGTAGAGGCTACGATTTGCGAAATCCGACGAAGTTTTTGGATACCACGTTTGAGAAGCCTTCTACGCAGTATAACTGCCAGCTGCGCCGTGTGTCGCTTAAAAAAGGTGAGAGCCGTGTCACCACTAATGGGTCCGCTTCCAACGGATAGGCTCACGCCCTATGTAAGGCCGTTTAGCTATACTGGCTTAGATTACTTCGGTCCAGTAATTGTCACCGTACGACGCAGCACCGAAAAGAGATGGGTGGCGTTATTTACGTGCTTGACCGTGCGGGCTGTGCACTTGGAGCTGGCCCATGATTTAAGCACGGACTCTTGCATAGTCGCCATACGTAACTTTATAAATCGGCGTGATGTACCTGTTCGGATAAGGTCTGATAATGGGAAAAATTTCGTTGGCGCCGACATGGAAGCGAAACGGTTCAGCGAGGTATTTGATTGTAATCGTTTGCAATCCGAACTGTCACAGAAGGGCATAGAATGGGTTTTTAATTCGCCTTTCAATCCTGCGGAAGGCGGCGTTTGGGAGCGATTGGTGCAATGCATCAAGAGAGTCCTACGGTACACTTTAAAGGAGGCGCAGCCGCGCGAGCATACACTCAATTGCTTCCTCATCGAAGCCGAAAATGTTGTAAATTCTCGACCGTTGACGCACTTACCAATCGAACCCAATCAGGAGCAGCCTCTGACACCCAATGATTTCCTATTAGGCGAAGCCAATACAGCGCAAACTCCAGTTATGAATGATGCCGTGGAGAAGACGTGCCGTTTACGACAACAATGGCGCATTGCTCGACAACTCAGGGATCATTTCTGGAAGCGATGGATAGAGGAGTATCTTCCCACTTTAACACGCCGGGTGAAATGGTGCCAGAAAACAACACCCATAAAAATTGGTGATCTTGTCTTCATATGCGACCCCTCCACTCCGCGTCGAGAGTGGCGCAGGGGAAGAGTAGAAGCAACATATCCTGGAGCTGATGGCGAAATCAGAAAAGTTGACGTATACACCAGCAGTGGACTAAAACGACGATCCGTATCCAAATTGGCCATACTGGATGTTGAAAGTGCTGAATCGGGCTGATTCACGGGGGTGGGAATGTTGGGAACTCCTGCCTGTAAAATTATTTCATATTCATGTCATTTAAGTTTAGCATAATTTCATTCTCATTTGTTTTATATACATGCTCTCATTTGTAGCATACTCATTTTTGTTCTCATTATTCTCATACTTATGTATCGATGTATGTTCAAAATGCCTATGTACCGCAA